CATCCTAAAACATGAGCAACATCATCCTAAGACTCATGACCAGAGTCATCCTAAAAATTATCATCAACATCATCCTAAGACGCATCACCAACGTCATCCTAAAAATTATCATCAACATCATCCTAAGACGCATCACCAACGTCATCATAAAAATTATCATCAACATCATCCTAAGAAGCGGCAGGAACTTTCAGCGCCATGCGTTCGCTGTGAGTCTCAGCTGGCCATCGGCTGCTTTCTTGACTGCTTCCACGTGTATGAGTGCACCCACAGCTTCCTCAAAAGTTTGGGATGACATGTTACAAAGATTAGGTAGAATGTCGCTGGGTTGCAACCATCGAGGGTGTGGGCCACTCATGTCAAGCATGCACTCAAAAACCTGCGAAACAGGATCCTCGGCCGCATCATGCACAGCTGACTGTGCAGGCTGGGTTTCAGCTGAAGGCAAAGCAGAGCTTAAAGTCGTTTGTCGAAACGCAGTAAAGGAGCCACGGCCCTTGCCCTGCACATCGCTCAAACGAAAAGCTACACCAAAACGACTTATGTTCATGCGGGCTGTTGTCACAGAAGAGATTGACTTTCGCCACACTTCTGCCTGTTGCGGCAGACCAAGCTCTGTCAAGAGATCGGCCTGGAGTTTGGCCAGCCGGCAAAAACTTAGAGGAGCAAACATAAGGGTTAGGGTATCGGGGCTTACAGTTCAGGACGTATGTTTTGGGGTTTAGGGTTTAGGGTGAAGGGTTAAGGGTTGAGGGTTTAGGGTTGTTCAGGGCTTTATGTTTTGAAGTGCGGATTGGAGAGCCACCTCGCGGCGAGCAAGGACCACGGCAGCGTCGAAGGCTCTGTTGCGAAGCGCAGCGGACGTCGTGGCAACTGTCTTCAAGTGAGCTGCTTCTATGATCTCCCTGCAAAAGGCCATCTCATCAGTAGGGTTTCTCCAGTGCACAGGAAGTACCAAGAAAGGAATCTTCCGCTGCCGCAAAGGTAAAAGACTCACGCAAAGAGGTAGGTCCTGCGTTTCTTCTCTAGGTTTTAGGGGTTTAGGGTTTAGGGTTTACACTATAAGGTTTAGGGTTTAGGGCTTAGGGGTTTAAGGGTTTAGGGTTTAGGGTTCAGGAAGATGTTTAGTTGACCTGTTGCCTGCGCATTGTGCTTCTTGGCTATCAAGGCACCCAGGGCTGCCCCTGGGTCGAGCTGTGGCTGGAGAGTGGCCCGATCTGTCGAAGTAGCCGCAGAGGAAGATGCTGTAGTGGCATCATCACCATCACCGCATGTTCGAGCTCTTTTGGCCCGGGGAGGCGTCAACAAGTCAATGACCCCTTGGAAGCGACCATAAGTATCAGCATCCATGCCTACAAAACTGCGGACATATAGCAGCAACTTCAGAGCAAGGAGACAGTGCAGACTGACAGAAGCTAACAAACTCGGCGAGACTGCAAAGCATGCTTCTTTCAAACCTTCACGGAGTCTTGGTGCCAACGCAGCACGCTCCCCATAGTGTGCCAGGGGTCGGCAGAGCCTTGCCACGAGTGAAACTGTGCCTCACGGACATGATCTTCGATCTTGTGAGGATACTTGGCATTGACTCCCAGGCAGGAGCGCTTCAGGGAAGTCCAGGTACCGTCAATGCACTGTGTTCCTGCCACTGTCTTGAGGTTGCTCTTGCGCTTGTCAACCTTCTTCACGCCCTTGTGAGTGCAGTTCTTGGTGAAGTACGGGCCGCCCTTCTTGGTACTGTGGCTGACGCTGTCGTGCCGGAGGTGCAGGTTCGGAACAGGAGCGCAGTAGGCCTGGGCGCCGTCCGTGTGCACGACGGTGTTGGACTGCAAGTGCTCCGACGCAAAGCTCTGCCACTCTGCCGTTGTCAGCGGCGGAGGAGCCGAAAGACCACTGGGCCTGACTTTCGACAAGCTGTTTGCGAAGCCGCGCTTTTGCAGCACCAAGAACTTGCGCTGTCCTCGGACTTTGGAGCCGACAAAGGTTTGCCAAGCCACTGTGTCACCCACCTTTTGTTTCCGCACAACGGTTTCGTCTACTTCCACTTGCTGAAAGTCACCACCTTGACTGCGACTCTGTGTCTCCTCCACGAACTTGCTAAGGACTCCCTGCCAGCGGTGGCGCATGTTCTCAATGCGCTTCTCGTTGCAACCA